CCCAATAAGGTCAGCAAGGTATATCCCTTCACTTCTACAATATTATTCATGAGTCTGTAATTTTAGACTTGACACCCGGGTGGATGGATTTTGGATCCAAGGTGTCTTCTCCACTACGTCCCACATGCGCTTATAGTCGCCGGCGCAGAGTGCTTGGCTGAGGAGCTGGCGCGGAAGTAGTCGACCAGGTCTTTCACCAAGCCATCCACCACATCATCCTCCGCGTTTCTTCCAAAGGAGCTGTGACGGGCGGAGCAAAGAACGTCAAAAAGCGCGGATTCGGCGCAGATCTCGAGTTTTGGGGTCTTGCTGCGGTTGGCTGATTTGTATAACCGGCTATAAGTTATAACATAACCTGTTTCTGATGGAACAATCACAATCTAAGAGAACGGAAGAACGAGGAAGGATCCCCGAAGATTCCTAAAGGTCTTTGCTCCTTACATGCAAGAAAGTCCTTTGTTCCCTGTGGCATGAAGCAAACAAGCTCTAGACTCTAAACCAACTGTCAACATTCAAGATAGACCCATATATCATATATCAATATATATATATACCTTCCTCGAAGGTGTTCATTCCACTGCAGTGCAGGTGGACGCTTTTTGGCTTTTGTGGATCTAGACGATGAAGACACAGTCACTGAGGCAGCCTCAGAAAGAGTCTCCGTACCCACTGGAGACTTTTCTTCTCTACATTGTGTACGTAGCCCGCATGATGAAAAGTGGACCCTCTCTCCGGAACAACTGCAGCTGGCACTTCAAGCTGATCATGCGAGCACTTCAAGCTGCGCACCCTCAAAGTGCCATGCCATGCCAGTGCCCCATTACCCCCTTGACTTCGATGTCGGTCTGTTGCGGCGTTGGGGAGGGCATCATTCACTGGGCCATTGGGATTGTCTTCACGCTTGCTCTTTTTGAACCCCCCCAACATAAATGAAACGGACTACCAGGCATTACCAGGCTATTATGAGGATTTGGGGTGCTTGGCATCAATCAACCCACTGCCATTTTCCGTGTGCTCTTTTTATCTAGAAATTCTCTCCTCAGTTTCATGATCAGCTACACAACTCCAGGGCATCATTGCATACCTCTGACTGTGAAGTCGCAGCAACTAAAATTCACAATCTGTTTTATAATGCCCCCATTTGCTGTTCCAAGTGCCTGCAGAAGTTCCTTCACAGCACTTTACCACCCATTTCCTTGTCAAGATCTGCACACACCCCAACCAACCCCCAAACCCAACAAAGCCTCCACCGGGCTCCCCGATTTTTTCCCGTCCTGCACGGACGAAGGTTGCGAGTTCAAGTAGTGCGCCATGACTCCAATGACTTCGTCGCTGAAGATGTGCACCGGAACCCGACTGAAGCGCGTGCGCGTGCGCGCGTGCGGAGCGCGGCAAGCGCGGGAACTCCGACGGCCGCGGAGTTCTGGAGTGGCTTTGGAGAAACTGGGGGAAATCCTTAGTTCGGAGAGCCCTGACTGCTAGTTTATACAGTTGGGCACAAGGGTTCCTTCAGGAATGAAGGACATGTTGTCTTTAAAGAGTGAGGCACCGGATATAAAAGACTCCCATCTGGGAAGTCAATTGCAATGCTGCAAGCAAATTAATTAGGACTGCTGCGCATCGGCTTGGGAAGAGCCCAACAGTTTTCAACACGTCCCAATCCCAAGGAAAACCCAAAGTTGACAAATGCTGGCAATACCTGATTTGTCACTAGTAGGCTTAGCAGGCTCCAGGTCTACCAAGCACATAGCAAAAGCCCTATGCAAACGAACTCCGAGAAAAGGTCCGGAGATCAAAGGAGTCCGTTGTTGTCTACCCCACAAGCTTGAGACTCTTGAGACCCAAGTCTGGTATAAGTTAGGCCAAATCATTGAAATGTGGTTCCTTTTGTTTCCTTTTGTTTAATGATTTCATTACCCCTTTTTAATGAAATGTACAACCATTATCTATGGAAAAAAAAGCAACTAAAAACAAATTAGCCCTGTGAACATTCAAAACATACATTTTCCATGTTTCATATTGTTTCGTATGTATTCACATATTTGTTCATAAACTGTCATATGTTTCTCGAAGATTATGAAAACATATGAGCTGCTTGTTAAAAATCATGAAAAGTGGTGTGATATGGTGTGATTGTTTTTTTATTCAGCACTGTTTGTAATTTGTACGAAACTTTTATGAGTCTTCTAACGCCGAAATTTATGATTGCTTAACGAAAAGTTAAATTAATTGATATTAAATTTGTTTAGTTTAAAAAAATCTATGTTGAACCAACTTGCTGGATCTCAACCATAAGCAGCTGGTTCTTCATCGGCCTTTGGACCCTCTCTCGGGTCTTTGCCACGAAGCATTCACCTCCCGACCCCGCCTGACCCAGATCTTCTGCACATGCGGATTCTGGCGGTTCCAAGACGAGGTTCAACAAATGCGGCAGTGATTTTTGGGGATGGTACAGAACCATGGGTGAAAGAACCATGGGTGTGCATGTTGATCCGGATTTTTTTTAGTCGTGCTTGAAATGTCGCAGGAGCTTGTGGGCTGGTTGCGAGGCAATCCCGGTACCACCCACAAACACCCCAGACACCCCAGACCCATCCATGCACCTATTGCCACCTCACTGTGAAAGGGAAGGAGCTGTGTGGAGCCAAAACCGTCAGATGTCCTTCCCAACAGAGAAGTACAGGAGGACTGCATTCCACAAGCCACAAACATGTTCTGGAGACACCCTCCGCAATCTGATTCCCTTCAACTTCCCTTTCCTAGTTCTGGTGAATCCACATTTAGATTTGGTGAGCTGCCCCACGCCTCCATCCTGAATCAACCCTTAAAGTGGAAAGGCTGTCAGTCTGATTTGTCCTCAACAACATGACCTCAACAACCTAGTCTAACATGACCTCAACAACATGTCTAGCATGGGGGATTTACCCAGACAATATCCGGAGAGATCACCATCGTGTATGCACTATGCGAAACTTTGAGACCTTTACTTCCCCACCTGGGCGCTCTTTCCGCGCGGTGCTGCGCCTCCCCGCGTTGGCCCACGTTGAGCTTCTCAGTCACCAAGATCTCATCGTAGCTCCGTTCCCTGTCATAGGTAGCTTCTTGCCACTAGCAGTAAGGCCAGCAGCCCTGGCCCTAGTAGCGTCCTTGCTCCGTTCGTAGCGATGCCAGGAGCCCCTAGTAGCTTCTTGTTACTAGTAGCTACTTGCTCCTAGTACTAAGGACAGGAGCCCCTAGTAGCGCCCTTCCCTGTCATAGGGCTGATTGGTCTGGACACGTTGAACACCGAAATCCATGAAAGCGATGCTCTGTGCCGTGGCAGGCGCAGTACACAGAGCCTCCTGGATCAGCTGCGGCGCGCGTGGGCGCCGCTGGGCCGCGCGTGGATCACTGAAGACTCGGATTTCTCGTGTTGGAGGCCGAATCCATCAGTGTCTCACGGACGTCTCGCGATGCGTGTCTTACGGGGACGTTGACCACCAAGTGGATAGCAGTACCTCTTAGTCCAGCCTCAATTCATCGTCCGGACTTAGGAACGCCACAGGTGGAACCCTTTCCCTTTTCAGTAAGACCTTGGCATCGCGACAATGTTCAGGGAGACCCCCCCGGGCCACAAGAAGAGAGTACGAACATGCCAGGCAAACGAGTCCGTGACCTTCCTCTCGGACTCCAAACGTGCCTGGTCGGTCCACTCGCTGCGCTAGTGGCTGGAAGCGCTTGGTGGATCAAATGGGTCAAACGTGGACAAGAAGCTACTAGTAACAAAGGGCATCGCTACTAGGAGCAAGGAAGCTACTAGTAGCTCCTGGCCTTACTATTACTATTAGTAACAAGAACGCTACTAGGAGCAAAGGGCTTCGCTTTTGCGATCATCTGCCGTCTTGAAAAAGACACCACGAGGAGTGCTTGGATGATGGTCCGGTACAGATCCTTACAAGTTTGAGTGTTGTAGTTGTAGTTGTAGTTGTAGTTGTAGTTGTAGTAGTAGTATTAGTAGTAGTCGTAGTCGTAGTAGTAGTCGTAGTAGTAGTAGTAGTGGTAGTGGTAGTAGTAGTAGTACTACTAGTAGTAGTACTAGTAGTAGTAGTAGTAGTAGTAGTAGTAGTAGTAGTAGTAGTAGTA